TTTGGGGAAGCGCTGGGCATGCGGGGATGTCCCTTGCTGGCCGCCAATGCTAAGGCACGGAGGACCGGCCCCTTGGGAGAGAGGCTTCAGAGTCCGACAGAGGCCGCGCCATGGCGGCCCCAGAGCTCCCCCCCCCCCCCAAGAGCCGCCCCATCTCCAACTCTTTTCCGCATGGCGGTGGCTGTGTTGGGAAAGCTTACGCTCCACTGAACAATGGGCAGGGACAGGTCGGCACTCGACTCGTCTGCCCTTGTCAGCCCAAGACTGCCCCCCAGTTTCAGCCATGCGACTCCGGCTTCGAGGGGCTTCCAAGGAACATCGGCCGGCAGAGTATCTCCCTATGGCAATTTCCCAAGAAAACAATCCGAGTCATCCCCCCATCGTTGTCCTACTCAGGCAACTTTTCGGGTCGAGCCGAGTGTCCCGCAAGCCGGAAGCCGCAGGGGCCGCGCGTCTGCATGGCTCGTCCTCCCTTGGCCACCACCACCACCATCGATGCCAGTGTCCTCGTTTCACAGACGTCGTGCAAGTGCCGGCTTGGCTATCGGACACGAAGTGTGCAATTGGCCTAGTGCGCGAGAGCGAGCCAGGCCAGGCTTACAAAGCGTTGATAATCTGAAATCATCCGCCTGGGCATACATACGCGTAGCATGATAAGACACACGTGTCGCGGTTCTCGAGGATGGTCTATTTCCGGTTTCGGACTGCGAATGTCTGCAATGTTTACGCAATGCGATTGCCCGTGAGCGAGGTCGCTTCTGGTTTATGGTTACAGTGACCATCGACGCTGATATTCCGGGGCTCTTCAGCATCCACCTTGACTCGCACGACCTCGAGTTGCTGGCGATGCGCATAAGCTAGTTCGATCACGACGCGACATAGGAAGAGTCGCCATTGCTCCCATCACAGGCGGTCGCGTGCGGTCGCCACCCTCACACAACAGTCATTTCCCGTGGGCGCTGGTGACGCCTGCCCTCGCGACGTACTCTTCGTTGGATCGGAAAAAATGTTGACAATCTGACTTTAGAACAGAAACCCGTCCTTTCGACAACTACATGAGATTCGCCGCTGGACATCCGAGGCACGTCCAATTCCCTGGGCGACAACGCCACAACACCACCTTGCAATGTTGCAAACCGCAGCACCTACTCCCTCGCGAGCCACTTGTCGAACCACGCGATCGCCTGATCCTCGGCCCTGCGCGCGCACGCCATCTCATGCTCATCATCCGGGTGGCTCCTCACGGCGAACCCGTGCTTCGCCCCAGGGATGATGTTGGCCTCGTACCGCCCGCTCGCAGCCTCCGGCTTGCCCTCGAGGATCTGCTTCATCTGCTGGATGAGGGGCGACTTCATGGCCATGTCGGTGTCCCCAATGGCCACGCTGAGCGGGAGCTTGACAGCCTCGACGTCGGCGGGGACATCGATGAAGGACGGGTGCGCGGTGAAGGCGCAGTCGATGAGCGGCTGCTTCTCGGTCTCCTGCTCGCCGTGCCGGGCCACGCGGGTCGCGGGGTCGTCGGCCGCGAGCCAGAAGCAGTGCTTGCCGCCCCAGCAGAACCCCGCGGCGCCGATCCGCAGCTTGCGGGTGGTCTCGAACGGCGGCGGGGAGGTGCGCAGGGCCGTGAGGAAGTTGACCACGAGCGGCCTGCGCAGCTGCGGCCTGTTGCTGTACATGAAGCTGGCCATCGACGGCAGCATCTGCAGCACATACCAGGGCTTCCACAGCAGGGTGTCGGCCCACGTCTTTGACGGCGCCATGACGGCATCCATGAGCGTCAGGCCGTGGGCGGGGATCGCGCCGCCGCCCATGAAGTCGGGCACGTAAACAAGGTACCCCCCGCGCTGGGCGTAGTGGTCCGCCAGCACGCGGTTGTTGGGGAACCGCCAGCCGAAGGCGTCGGCGATGTACACGATGACGCCCTTGGGTGTGGTGCCCGAGGGCGGTTGTGCGACGTATGTATCGAGGCCGTGGATCCTGGTCTCGGCGCCCTTGGGGTGCTCGAGGGTGACGCCACCGCGGAAGCAGTCGGGGCAGGCCATGGCGGATATATTAGCGTTGGTACGGTAGGTGGTCCGGATGACGGTGGTCTTGGGGCTCTGTTCAAGGCAACGAGGAGCAGTGATGAGAGATGTGGGAGCGAGGTGCGTGGAAGTCTTGCTGGCGCTGTCCTGCCTTTAAATCACATGCATGCCTGGCCAGACTCGGGGATCCAGAGGACCCGGAAGCGGAGCTCGCTGAGGCTGAGAAATGATGCCCACGTCGGTTTTGGCCCAAAGTGCTTTTTGCAAGGGCGTGGCTAGCGGGGGAGAGCTGCATCAGACGAAGCAGAAGGAGCGTGCAGATAAGCTTCCCGCGACACACGAGCTGGTCGACGACGGGGAGCTTACCCCACCTTGCACCTCGGGCACAGAATCTTGCCCATCGGCCGATATCTTGGTCCGTGTATGCCCCGTACATCGTCGGTCTCTCCTATCACAAAGCCCGCTGGGCCGTCGACGGTGCCAGGGCCAGAATAATAGACGCGTCATGATCGCAGCGCTGGATTAGTGTCACCCGGCTTTTACTCGAGCTAACTCCGCGACATGCGTTACGCCCAGAAGCCATAGTCGGTCGCACGGCGGCCCGTTTTAAAGCAGCCCAGCAGGGCCTGACGTCGGTGTAGCTCCCGCTGCCTCCACAATTGTACAGGCACCAGGGCGGGTCAAGTCTGCACACTGCTTACATGTGTATCTCTGCTCTTGTGGAGCTCCTTGGAAGAGCCGAGCGGTCTTACCAGTGGCAGGCAATTTAGTTGTGGTATAATCTCCCCAAGCAGGTATCAAGACCAGTTCTCCGCGGGTCCAATGTGCTCAGTGTCTTGATCCAGGATGCGAAGCGTGCTCACCCAAGTGCCATCTGCATGTGACCGGGGACCGGTTGACATCTGGGATCTGCATCTTGCTTTGGAATTCCCCGAAACAACATGCTGACCAGGGGTCACATCGTGCGGCACACGCATGGCCTGAATCATGTACCCGCATATGCTAGTCTCGTCATGCCGAGTCTGAGGCAGAGAAGCTTGCCAGAGAGTGCGCACAGGTTGGCATGGGCCTGGTTCGACAAACGCTTTGCGACCACTCCCGATGACACTTGGCTCGGTGCGGATTTCCTTACGCAGCCCGCCTCGACATACACAAAGCCATAATGCAGGTGTCAGCCTGGCCCTCTACGCCTGACAACGCAACGCTCGTGTCAGAAATTTCGCAGGCTCTTTAGACGCCAGGCTCGAGTTTGTGGTTGTGTTCGAATCTAGAAAGCGGTCACAAGAAATAGCATGACGGTCTGAGCTTCGATTTCAGCAGCGTCACAAGTACACTTTATGGAGCACTCTCGCGAGGCATGCAGAAAACGACCGCGATGGACGTATTAATGTTAAGACTGTGCGTTTTCGGCGCACCATTTCGGATGTCGGACCGCGACACCTGCGGGTAAGACCTTAGTTTACTCAGTGAGATTGGTCCATGAGTAAAGGATAATACTGGTCCTTTCTGCCTCTGCCTTTCTGTTCACACTGGATTTGCGGTGAGCTACATGTTTCCGCGCTTGTGAGAGATCGAAGAACACGAAGCTATATCCAGCCAGACCTGGTCCAAGTCGACCTCTGTCCGCTTCCATGCACCTTTACTAGGCCATCGTGAACTCACGACGGCACTCAGGTCTCATTGCGTGTCAGAGAGTGTTGCAGGTTGTCTCCGCTGGCGACAATTTGCTGTTCGGGCCATTTGGCACAAATCTTCTTCTCTGCTGGCTATCAAAGTTCAAGAAACGTCAACACTCATATCCGGTCCCAACCGCTATCACTGGTGATTTCAGGGCTGAAAACATCAAGGCGTGTAGGAAGTTCAGCAGGGACACGTGAAGTGCCATTGCTTATCGCAAAAACTACAGGGGGACCACTTGGTGCTGCTGCACAGTTGATTGTTTCAGACGAAATAAATGAAAAGGGGTGTAAACTTGAAAATGCTGCAGCACCACAATAAGGGTCCTTGAAACATGTTAATTCTGGCAAAGGCCGATAGAGAAAATAGCGCTACGTATGCTAGCATAACTTCCACTGTCGCAATACATTGGTGTGGGGTGAGGAAAAAAGAAAGAAAGAAAAAAAATTGGAAAATTCACAGAACACCAACAAATAAAGCTAGACACACCCAAAAAAGATTGTGAGATGCCTCAAGACACCCGCTAACGTACATGTAGCGACATTGGCCTGATTCGAACAGACGCTCCCGAAGGAAATAGATTTCTAGTCTATCGCATTAGACCACTCTGCCACAATGCCTTGTAATTGGTTGAAAGACATTGTGCTTATCATTGGATATTAAACATATTTGTGATGGATTATTCTAGTGCGGTGGGGCATTTCGGCTGGCTGTTTCAGCGGTATTACAGCGGAGTGTCGGTTTATGTAAATTGGGGGTGGGATTGTGGGCAACGTTTGTAGCCAGTAAGTGTAGCGGTGGGTTTATCCAGACAGAGCTCGGAGAGACTCGCCTGTATGGACCATGCCAGCTCTGCGTTTAGCTTAGCACGTAACAGAAGGCCGTGTGTCTTCGGCGGCAAATTGGTAGGTACTGAGGGGCCGAGAAACGAATACAACACATATTCCACTCTAAGCAGACACAGAGTACACGAAGCATCGCTTATCTACGACCAGAGCTGCGCGTTACAGTGTCCTTGCTTTAGATTTTCAATATGCCAATGGTAGAAGGAGAGTAAAACCAAGCTAACTAGGACTACGTCGAATATAATTAATCGCAACGCACAAACTTACAAGGGAGGAACGCCATATACAAGACCTAGCCAGCAATCGGCGAGGCTGAAAAGAAAAGAACAAAGTAGTGTAAGCATTGATGAGTGACAACCCACCAAACTAGTGGGTGTGAACCTAGACGCAGGGGCAAGCTTTGGTAGTCTCCACAAGCAAAACAACGCTGTCGAGCAAAACTGCAAAACTTAAGCTCCCCCGGACAGGCTTGAACTGTCAACCTCCTGATCGCACCAGATGGAAATCTTGATAACAGTCAGACGCGCTAGCCAATTGCGCCACGGAGGATCCTATTGGTTGTTGTTGAGGAAGCGAGTCTTTATGTATTAACATATCGATGTCACTGACTTGCATGGGCCGCGGATCTGGTTGGTGTTGCATTTGGAAGTCGCACTGCTGTCTGCAGGTCCCATCACGTATGTTCAATGGACAGGCAGACTGTAACTATCACCAAGCACCATGTATGGACCTAATGGTACGTAGCTTGTTGCTTTAATCATGCAGACCTTTACCGCCATGGACTTGTCGGTATAAACCTACCTGATAAAAAGGCGTTGTTGCGGATATAAGGAGCAATCTGAAACGTTCTGTATCTCATGGTGGCTGCAGACTACGTGCATGCTACTACGACGGTCTCGTTGTGGATATACACTATTTGCCTGCTGAGAGGCCAGACACCACACCTCAGACTACATCTCGGAAGAATGCCTGAACATCTGATTCGCAACTAACATAGACATACAAAATGCTTTCTCACGCTTAAGGTATCTAAACATGTACATTTCCTTTTCGACTGACAGCACAGAATGAGCCTATACCTGTCCACGTCTTGGGACCCTTCATCACTCAAGCGGCCGCAACTTCACGTACATCCCGTTCGCCGGCTTGATGGTGACCACACCGCCAGCCACCACTTTATCCTCGTCCATACCCAGCGTCCAGTCAAACTCCCCGACCACGGTTGCGAGCAGACACCTGAGCTCGGCCCTGGCAAATCCCTGCCCGATACAACTCCGCGGCCCGTGCAGAAATGTGAGGAAGTGGTAGTTGCTCCCCGCACCGCCGTGCATGTTGGGCTTGCCGTCGTCGGCGTTGATCCAGCGCTGGGGGCGGAACTCGGTGGCATCGTCGCCCCAGATCAGCGGAGACCGATTCACGGCCCAGGGCACGAGCAGGATCCGGGCACCCTTGGGCACGGGCTGATCTGCGACGACGGTGTCGCGGACGGCCTCGCGCATGGAAATGGGGACCGTGGGGTACAGACGGAGAGTCTCGTTGATGATACCGTTGAGCAGGGGCAGCGACTCGAGGATGCTCGCGATGTCGACAGTCGCCGGGTCCACGTTGCCGCAGCCCTGCGGGAACGCGTCCTGGACTTCCTTGCGGACCGCTGCTTGAATGTCCTGGTGCTTGGAGAGGAGATAGCATACCCAACTGAATGCCGAGGAGGTCGTCTCATGACTGCATCGCGAGTGGTCATTAGCATCAAGCAATTTTGTTTTAGAATTTCTTTTTTTGAGAACCAGCAGTGTGCACGGAGAAAGGATTGGACTCACCCAGCAGCAAGATATGTCAACAATTGATCCGTCAGCTCCTTGTCCGAGAAGTTGTCCGACTTGACCAGCAGCGAGAGCACATCAAAGTGGTCGTCGCCCTTCTTGACAATTGCGTCGCGCTTGTCCTGCATCATCGGCCGGCATAAATCAGCCAGCGACGTCGTGAGCCGCTTGAAGACCTGATTCATCCTCCACGGCAGGAACTTGACAACCTTCTCCCCTAGCATCGCCGTGGCCAGGAAGAACGCGAGCTTCTCCTTGGTCGGCTCGAGCAGCTCCTCGTATACCGCCATCAGCGGGTCCGCATTGCGCTTGAGCATGTTGAACTCGCGCCCAAGCCCGGCCACGCCGATGATGTCAAGCGTCACCCTGCTCGCCCACGTGTTAAGCTCGACGGTGCCGGCATGCGCCCAGCTGGGGAGCTCCTGCTTCCCCGTGTTTGTGGCAAGGGAGTACCCCTTCGCGCTCGCCTCGGCAGCGTCCACCCGCAACGCCGCCGACAGCAACAGCGCCTTGTTCCAGATCATGGGGTATAGGTCCTTAATGTGCCGGAAGCTGAAGGCAGGGAGCGAGTTCTTACGCAGGAACTTGTGCTGGTCGCCCTCGACGACAATGAGGCCGTCACCGAGAACGTGACGCAGGAAGCCGGCAACGTTGGGGGGCTTGGCAAAGTCGTAAGGGCGGTGGACGAGGACGTCGGCCAGACCTCTGGGTTTGGTCACAAGCACGTACTCCTGCCATATATTGCACAGGATGAGCTCCTCGTTGGGCCACTTGGCCATGACATCGATGAAGATCTCGCCTGGCGGTGCTTGCCGGCCTACCATGCTCCGTGGGAGTGCCGTGAGGTGGTACTTTGAAAGGGCAGATTCAGCAAGGGGCCAACATTGACACAGGTGTTCAAGGAAGACTTACCCTGGGACCTGGCAGATGCCTGACCTTGCTCAGCAGGAAAGGGTGAATGACAAAGAAGTGGAAGATCAGGGCGGCATAGTTGATGCCAAAGATGCCGAGTATGAGCTTGACCTGGCTCGTTGTGCTGAGGGAGTCCTTGAAGACCCTAGGCAGCACCAGTGCCTGGACAGCTGCAGCCAGCGTCACCTTGGACGGCGTTATGTACGTGGCCGGCATGGTTGAGGTTGTAGCAAGTGTTGGGGTGATGAGAGTCTTGTGGCTATGTTGCTGTGCTCTTTGTGGCTTGTTAGCTGATTGCAGCGGTTGAAGCCACGGGCTTTCTGTGTCGATACGCTGGGGGCCATAAACCACGAGGGTGCGTCTCGTAGCGAGTCTGGTTCTTATGTCGCAGGATTTGGCACTAGTGTGCGGGTGAGTATGTGATCAGGCTATGCTCGTCCTCTGACGTATACCGAGTAGTGTCGCCAGCTATATCGCTGCCTGGGAGTGCCGAGTCTCGAGAGAGGAGAAGCCGAGGAGGTGATTGTCGTAACAGATTCTCGTTGGGCTGCGTGCGGCACTATCACATGAAATATCGAACCGACTCGAGCAGACGTGCTCCAGTCTGCCGATCGACTTGGCATCAAGTTTCTTTTGTTGGCTGCCTTGTCAGCTGCGGCACCGAGGGTCCGACTGGCCGTTCATTCATTTCCCACAAGTGAGGGTCGACAACAACACGGAGTATTCCGCAACGGCCAGCCGCGTGATCAGCAGGCCTCGAAGGGGTGTGAGGAAGCGAGCATGACAGTGATTACATGTGAACAAGGGCTCGAAAAGCGACAGGGGTCCTCTGCCCCAGCCCCTGAGAGAAAGAGGGGAAACAGTTGGCGACACAGGCGATCACAGAGTGTCCGAAAACCACGACGACAGGGGTCTTCCGTCAAGGCCCTGCTGCTTCCCCGCGACGCCTCGCTGTCACGCCCTGACAATCCGGGGTGCATGGGGGAGAGTTACTTTGAGCATGGTCTTCATCGTTTGCTGGCCACTCCTGCAACTGACCTTTTAGGTCCAGGTTGCAGAACGGTCGTCGTCGACCACTGTTCCATCGATCTGGTCACTGGGGCCTGCAAGATAAGCTCGGAGACGACTCCGGTCCGCCACGATTCCAGGACTCCTCTACTGACACAGTCGACAAGTACAGGAGGATTCATCCGTTGAATCGTGATGGCATAGATCGGAAGCATGGATTCTTTTGAGAATAGGCCACTTCAGAGGCTAATGCAAGTGCCGACGATCGACGCGCTCATGCTCTGGCACGGCAGCGTGGCTGCCTGCTGGGCGGCCCTCCGCTGCTCAGCAGTGAGGCCCTGACTAGACGCGACATGGCGTGGTGTTGCCGTCTCGCACAAGCCGCGCCATATGACGTTGTCTGGACGGGGCAGGCATGCGGGGGAGGGCATCACTACTGCAGTAGTGTGGCTGTTAGCGCCCCGCGTCGAGAGCAACTGCCGAGGCAGCTCAGTCGGCGTCTTGGGCGAGGTGGGTGGGGTGCCATACGTGTGTCAGTGTCGTCGTATCACGGACTCGCGGGTGAGATGGAGCTATTGATAGTTTTATGCGGAAGACTTCCGGGGTTCGCATATCGCACGTATCGGAGCGTGTATGAATCAACCCTGAGGATCCCGGTACTGTTTCCGAGCGAGCAGGTGGGTGGCAGGACGATCGCTCGTTGCAGTTGAGTGAGCATTGTTTGGCATTGGCAGAGGAGCACATGTCACTGCGCAAAAGAAGGCCTCACAGCATGTCGCACATTCCATTGTTGAGGAGAAGCAGGGGCAAACATAACTCCATAACTCCGCGCGCGGCCTCGAGGGTATCTGCAATACTACCGAGTCCAAATGTAACAATACAGGCACCAGCTGCACAAGAAAGCGGCACACAATACAAACTCCGTCATGAAAAGAACAGCCCCTTAGTCTCCGCCTCGGAAAGCTCCTTGAGCCGCCACCGCGCTGCCCGGATGCCCATGTTCTTGTCCATCCGGTTGAGTACGTCCAGGCTCATCGCCTTCTGCCGCGGCGTCGAGAACGGACACATGAAGACCAGGATAAGCGGGTGCATAATGATGAGCGCCGCGGCTGCGGTCTCAAGCTGATTCGTCGCAAGTCTCACTCCTGCCTTGCCTGGGTTGCATTGACCCGCGCCGCCGCCGCCGCCGTAGAACCCGCCCACGCCAAAACCCTCCTGGAAGCTCGCGATCCCGTCGAGGTCGTCTTCCTCGCGGCCCACGGCGAACGGCACGCAGCGCTCAATCTCGGTCACGCTCTCTCGCACGTCATCGAGCATCTTCTCGATATCGGCCAGACTCGCCGACGGGTCGGAGAAGAGCGCGGCGAGCAGGGGATTCTCGGCTGGATCGCCGAGAAGGCGCGGGTAAGCGACAACCCAGTCCCGTAGGCGCTTGAAGTACGCCAGCAGACTGAGCAGCAGCATGACGCGAGACGACTTCAGCAGGATGACGGTGCAGGCCGTTCTCGAGTCGTAGCGCTTCGGGAGCGGCTGGAACTGCTGGTGTTGTTGCTTGTGCTGGTCATGAGCAGTGTCAAAGGTAGGGGCCTGCGCGCTCAGGGGGCTGATGGGACTGTGCGAGTGCGTCGTCGGCGTCTCGATCTCAACAATGTCCGAGTTGAAGACTGGATTTGTGGCGATGCTCTGGTCCCACTCGCTCAGCTCGTGCAGAACTTTCATGCAGCCCATGTAAAGCACCATCGTCTGCTCAATGTCATCTTCCTGTAGTGGTGGCGGCGGCAAGCCATCGCCCTCCTCGCTGCTGTCTCG